TACTTTCTAGGATGCAACACTTCGAAGAGACACATGCCAACGCGCCAGCGGCCCGCTCATATCCCAGCCTGCCCAGAACGGGCTGCCTCCCACATCCGGCGCTCCTGCCACTGCAATAGGACCCGGTCAGACGCAGGGCGAGCCGTCCACAAATACACAATTTGGCTTCCATCCGCGGTCAGGGTCCATGGGCGCCAACAGGCAGCGACTGGGCTCCATCAACCGCTCGAACCTGTCGACGGTCCAGGATGTGGACTCACTGGAAGACATGGACATTGACATGGACATGAACTTCGACAACCTCGGTGCTATCGAGGAGGCCCCCATGCAATATCCAGTCCAGCAAGCCCAGTTCAACCAGAGCCAGAACCAGAACCAGCTACCTCAGCTCAACGTCAATCTCGCCAACAACATGCAAAATCACCAGGGTCTAAGGACGTCGACGCCCACGACCCCCTCGGCCTCGCAACAATTCAACCTCCACAACAACCCCACAGTTTCCTCGGTCAACACACCCACTCTTGGCACGGTGCCGATGCAAAATACACACAATCTGACCTCCCCCGAGTCATCACATCCCGGCACGCCAGCTGAGCTCGACATGGACTTTGGCGCGTTCAGCCCCATGATGGGCATGGACATGAGCGGTATGGGTATGAATATGAACTTCAACAATGGTAACGCCGGCATGAATGGTTTCGACAACAATGGCACCATTGACCAGCCGGGAAAGCGCCTTTTCAGTAAACAAGGCGCTGGCCTTAGTCAAGCGCAGCTGCAAGCAGCACTCAAGGGCTACCAGCTCGGTGGCAATGACCAGAGCGAACTTGCGAGGAGATTACGGGAGCAATCCCTTCTCAACGGAGCTAGCATACCCCAGTTCCCCTTCCCTGAGGAAGTCAAGCCATTCAGATGCCCAGTTATTGGGTGTGAAAAGGCATACAAGAATCAAAACGGGCTGAAGTACCACAAGCAGCACGGCCACCAGAACCAGCAGCTCAAGGAGAACGACGACGGCACATTTTCGATTGTCGATCCCCTCACATCAATACCCTATCCCGGCACGGTGGGTATGGAGAAGGAGAAGCCCTATCGGTGCGAGGTGTGTGGAAAGCGATACAAGAACCTCAACGGGCTCAAGTACCACCGTTCTCACGCGCCCCACTGCAATCCAGAGCTGGCTCTCCAGAAGCTGGGACTGTCTGGCAACCTGCAGAACCTGCAGAATGCCAATGTGGCTGGGGCAGGAATGGGCGGGATTGATCCGGCCATGACCACGTCGATGTTTTAGAGTCTGACGGCGAGGTCTGCATTTGTGTTTTATAAATGACGTGCACGTCGATGTGGTTTCACGTTTTCGATTTGCTTCCTATCCTATACCCCCGTAAAAGTCGAGCATGGAAACGACTTTTTTTTTTTGAGAATGGTGTTTCTTCTCCTTCTTTCTCTTTTCCCTTTTTCTGCCTTTGCCTTTTTCTCAAAGACGAAAAAAGTTAGGATCCTCCCTCCCAACCCCACATCACACAGCCCTGCATCACACACGGCGTTGATTTTTATGTATGGGATTTAGAGATTGGTTTCGTCGAAGCGGCGAGGTTTTTTGCCGTTGGATATGACGGTATCAAAATACACCAAGCTTTTTCCCACTATGTTTTGCTGTTTTGTGTAGATCGTCTCTCTCTCCCCCTCTCCGGGAGATTGGATCGCTCCTGATTAGCAGCAGCCTTGTGCGGCCTTTTTGCAACGACAGATGAATCTTGTGTACATTTTCGCCGACGGTGTTTTTCTCTCTGTTCCTGTCTTTTGCGCAAGGCGAGTAAAGCGGGCAATTTTTTCAAGGGATTTTTTTTTGTTGTTTTTTTGTTATGGCTGGATATCCTGTGAGTCGGTCATGTTGTTCTGCTGTATTAGACTCTGTTTGGACTGTCTGGGTTTTGGTATTATTTTGGGGCTGTTGTTGTCATGTTGTTTGTTTGTTTGGTGGGTATGATTGGGAGGCGTTTGATTTTTTTTTTGGCAAAGCATGGGAAAGCAGTTTGGGGGATTTGAAATTGATGGTAGTTTAGAAACAAACCAAAAGTTTGGGTTTTTTTGATGCTGAAAGGGTGGGAGAGTGATGTGTGGGGGTTGGGTGTGTGCTTGTGCTTGTGCTTGTGCTTGTGTTGGTGTGTGTGTATGTTTACTTGGCCCGTTGTCTTGACAGAGACTGCATACAAGTGGTATCCTACACGTCTACATTCCCACCTCCCACCTCGCACCCCCAAACTCTGATATCCATCCCTATTCCTTTTCTTCTGGACGTTGGGCAGATCCTGTAGTCCCGAGTCCCCAATTCCCAGGCCCCAGCTGTTTGCTGATCCGCTGGTGTTTATCAGACAACCACTCCACAACACGATAGCCCGATGAAGATGGAGAACTCGTAGACATTGACGGAAAACGAAGGGGCAAAGACAATCGGAAAGAACGGGAAACTGCCACCTGGGACATGGATGGTGGGGTTCGCATGACTTACCGTGATTCCGTGGTTTGCAATCGCACTTGAAATGTTCATCCTGATTTCCACGCCGTCCTGGACAAGACCAACGCCAAGTCCCGCCTCCCGACTCCCACTCCGAACTTTCCACCCCTGCACTCCGGTCCAAACTCCGATTCACCTCCTCGCCGCGCAACTCACCTGCAACGGCAACGGCACTGGCAACGGCAACTGCAACTAGCCTCGTTGGGAGGGTACTCGCATTGTGCACCAAGCCCTGTACCTCATTGCATGGGCTCCTCGTACCATGAGTAGATTTATCAAGCCATCCTGCTACTCTGCCTGTCCAGGCGATGGTTGCGCGAAGTGGCGGTGCGTGGGAAGCGTGGACACGTGATGGGGTGGGGGTCCTGGTTGCCGTAACTACTGTAGTAGCGCGCATTGAGGAAGGGTTCGTTGGGCTGTGTGGGATGCTGTTGAGCTGCTGGTTTGGGTATGGTGGGTTTGTGGTGCAGGTGGGTTGGGGAGTGAGGCCGGGAGTGGCTGGCTGGCTGGGATGGGTGGTTTGTGATTTGGTTGCGGGAGGGGAGGGGAGGGTTGGGTTGGGTGGTAAGAGTAGCCAGGCAAGAGCAAAACACAAAGCATGAGTGACTACCGGTACACATCCTCATCACCCTCGTGCCGTTCTTGTCCGGCCCTGCTACTACTCTACGCGTAATGAGGATGTACAATGCCATGGCTTTCCCGCCGCTTCTACTCGTCTTTTGCCACTTGTGTGTTTTCCCACCATCCACCGGCTCAACGGAGGGCGGGGACAGGGACTGGGTGTTTTCTAGAACACCTACTACCTTGGCCACCTACCCACCTTTTCTGACAAAGCGTGGCGGCCGACCACATGGCAAATTGGGTTTGGAGTGTAGGCGAGATGAATCATTACGGTACTTTGCCGTCGTTTGATTGTCCAAAGGGGGGTGGACGGATGGATGGGTTCCCGTGGAGGTGCAGTGCCTGTGCAGAGCCGCATACCAGGGGGGATTGATAGGGTTGTTTTTGGGTAGAGGTGCCATGCTGCGAGGGTGGTACAGTTGGGGTGTGGTGGTAGAGTCGCGAGCAGGAACCAGTAACTGTGCATCCCAAGTACGAGTAGTACCGGTACACCATTCGATTTGGGCACACAGTAGTCCTCCCCTCCCCTCGACATACACACACCAACAACCCTCCCACCTCGGAAACAACAAGGACACGCACAGGCAAGCCCAAAGCCCACCAACCCCACCAGCGCCTTCAACATGGTACTTGCATCCCTTTCCCCTCTCACCAACCAACACCCACTGTACCCTACCAACACAGCAGCACATCCCCGGCCTTGCCACGCAGCGACACCGCGACGGCGACGCGAAAGGATGCACCCAGCACGCAACCCAGCTTGGCAACATCTCCCACATCTCCCTTAGGCTTCGAATTTCCTTCCAACGGCTCGTTGAAACGGGGTCGGGTGGAGAGTAGTGCGGTTTCTCGTGCTTCCGTGCAGGAGGTTAGTGCATGGACTGTGCAGGTACTACTAGTGTGCTCGTAGGTGCGTGCTGGTGTTGCTGTGCCTCGTCGGCGCTCGCTGCTGGGTACACGGTACGGTCTCCATGGTATTCTATCCTCAGAGGCTCAGAGGCGTGGTGGCATGTCATATGACCATGGGTTTAGCGTTGGGCGACTTGGGCTTTACTCCGAGTGGTTAGAATATCCCTGTAGGTTCAAGTCCACGTCACAGCGGCAAATTTTTATAGTTATATAAACTAGCCTATAGTTAAGTATAAATTAGGGTAATTTAAGCAAGTAAACGCAGTTTTTATTACTATCTTTTTTAAATATATTCTAAACCTATTCTTAATAATATATAGGTGTTCCTAAATACTATACTAGAGTTTAGTATAGTAGTACTAGATAATATATCTAAACTAGATAGTAATATTAGAGATAAATTTAGGCAACTATATAAAGTGCTAGAGGAGGATAGTAGTAGTAGTGTTAAGGAAGTAAGTAAAAGTAAATAGAATAAGTTTAGAATAGGTTAGTAATATATTATAGGGGCATAATATATACCTTACTTGTAGTAATAGTTAAGGACTACTACTTACACTAGCAATTATTAAGTATATAGCTATTCTCCTAGCATACCCTTAATTATATAGCTAAGGGTATAGGTATATAATACTAGTTTAGTAATATAAAGATAGCTCTTACCTAATAAGAGAAGAGGTGCTTATATAGGCTATATAGGTAACACGTTAAGAATATATTCTTAAATTATTCTAATTCTAGTAGGTATAATACTCCTGCTAGTCTATCTATCTTAATAGGCCTATAACTTTACTATTCTTTAATAGCTAGCTAGCAAGCTAGTATAAATACTAATACTCTAGGGTAAAAGCGTATAAGTATCTTAAGAATACGTTATAAATATATTCTTATTATATTATTAATAATATATTATATAATTAGATCTAAACCTTAAAAAGTATAGTACCTAAGAAAATTCTATAAAGAGAACTATAAATAAGAAGCTATTATTATAGCCTTATTAAGCGCTTCTCTTTAAGGATTTATAAGGACTACTAGGTGTCTTATTATCCTATAATAAGGACTATAGTAAATTAGGTAGGGAGTAAAACTTAAATATATTTAAAATATATTAATAATAAGTTAGTAAATTATAGAACAGGCTTAACTATATATTAGCTATTAGAACTATAGCCTAATATCTACTACTAGGAAAAAATATTATTTTAGTTAGGTACTACTAGAGGTAGACTCTATATATCTATAAGGTCTTCTAACTAGGGAGATATTAAATCTTTCTAGTAGTCCTGCTTTATATTCTATAGTTAAGCCACAGTTAAGCTAGATAAAGAAGTGTGGTAGGCATATTATAACCTATTCCTAACACGTTCCTAATATATTCTAGGCGTTAATTATCTATAAGGGCAAGGATCTCTGTTTAAAATCCTATATAAAGTTACCTTCTAAGTAATTATACTAATAGATATAGTAGTAATACCTTTTTTTACTATTATTTCTTTTAGTATATATACATATATACCTCCTCCTCCCTTAATACTATCTAATAGTAATATTAAGGAAGTAGTAAAGGTATTATAGCCTATACTTACTCTATAGCTTACGTAATATAAGTTATTTACAACCTATTATAAATATATTCCTAACTTATTATAGCCTAGTTCCTAAACTTAACCTAGCTCTAAACCTATCTCTAACTTAAAGGTTTCTATTCTATTAAAGAAATATATATTAGCTTTGCAAATAAAGATAAAATCTTGCGTATTATAAAGCGTAAAAAGCTTCTATAGTTCCTATTTAAGAGTAGCCTTAGAGGAGTATACTATAAGTAGAGGATAAAGTATTAGGATCCTAAAACCTATATATAGTATAAGAGAACAGGTTTAGAATATATTACTAATATATTATTATAGGCGTATATATAGCAAATCTTTATATTAAGCTTAGGTAACTTAATTATTTACCTTTTTAAAGAGTAGGTATTAATTCTATTAGATTAAGACACGTTCTAGATAGATATATTATATAAGAGGTTATATAGGGCATAAGTAGAGATTCTAATAGTAATCTTCTACTTATAGGAAAAGAAGCGTACGTATTAAGAATAGGTTTATAATATGTTTCTAATATATTATAGTTATTATACTTAGCTAAATTATTATAGATAAGGATATAACTAAGATATATTAAGTTACTATTACTAACTTCTTTTAGAAGTGTAAAGCACTTATAAAAAGACAAGTGTTATAGAGGTATATTTACTTATAGGGATTCTATAGGACTACTATTAACATATATAACAAGTAGATAATAGGTAAGTTTTATAGTATACTATAACATATTTGTAACGTGTTTCTAACTTGTTTCTAGGACTTAGGCGCTATCTCTAGTTAATTAATCCCTATAAGCGTGACTAGCGCTAGTAACTTTAATCTTATATAAGATTTTATTAAGTATATCTATAAAGAAGTATTTACAAAGCATGTAAAAGAGAGCTAGATAATACTACCTCTTTACGTCTAAGTGAATTACTATAGGTATTAATAGTAGAGGAATACTTTTAGCTTGCTAACCTCCTCTTATATAAGTAAATATATTCTAAACCTATTCTAAACGTGTTCCTAACTTGTTCTTATATAATTAGAACACAAACCCTCTAAAGATGCCTAAAACTAGGTAATCTATAAGAAAAACCTAGTAATTACTACTAGGATTATGCAATGCTATAGTAAAATATTAAAAGAGGTATAGGAAAAACTAGAATCTTATTTAAATATAGCTAAGCAAGTAGGCTAGAAAGAATATAAAACTAGTAAGCATGTAAGTATTCTTAAGGCTACTTAGAAGTAAGTTTATAACCTATTCTTAACCTATTAGAATTATATAAGTAATATTATGTAGTGCACACTAGATAGATCTATAGGATATAAAAGAGTTTAAAGCCTAGAGCAAGTTTAGAATACACTATAACTATAGAACTCCTAATAGGCTTAAGCAAAGGTACCTTAAAAAGCTTTAGAGGGGAGAAAGTAAGTCTTATACTAGTATTATACATATTTACTAATTAAAACGTGTTTAGAACGTGTTTAGAACGCGTCCTATAATAATAATAATACTCTAGATAATAGTAAAGTAAGTCTTACTATATCTAACTTAACTAGATATATCTTAGTCCTAATAAGAAATAAAAGAGCATGCTTAAAAGCCTAAAGCTACAGGGCAAGTAGTAGAGTAGTATTAGAAAGAAGTTTACTAGCCCCTTTTCTATCTTCTCTACTACTAGGCTCTTCTCCTCTACTAATAGCAACCTAAAGGTATGCTTTATAAAATATATTTATAATATATTCCTAACTTATTATTAGTTTATAACTATAAACTTTGTAATAAAAGGCTCTTTTTAGTAATTAGGCTCTAAAGGAGAGAAAAGAAAAGCTAGAGGTAGATAAGGAAGAACTTATATAGAAAAAGGCACTATTTAAATTATAAAAGGCATAGTTTAAACTTAAGAAAGAGATAGCTACTTTTTATATAAGGTAGGGTTAGTCTATAAATATAGTAACTAGTTCCTAACTAGTTCTTAATATATTCTAGTCTATTATATAAGTATATATAAGTAGATAAATATATATTCTTTCTTCTTCTCTTTCTTCTTCTTTCTTCTTACACTCTATAAGAACTTTTTATATTTAAGAGTTTAATACTATTTTACTATCTATCTTTTCTAATATTATTAGATATAACTAGTTAATATAGTCTATAAAGATCTTTTAAAGTTAGTATATAATAGAACGCGTTAGGAATATATTATAAACTTGTTCTAACACTAAGTAGGATTTATACTAGTAATATATTAAGCTTAAGTTACTTCTATCTAATACTAGGGCATTCTCTCCTATAATATCCTACCTAAATAATAGGTGTATAGTATTTCCTAGCAAGCTTTTCTACTAGGCTATTTAGGCTAGATTAGGGGTATAGGAACTTTATAGAGTATATATACATGCGAGTTAGAACACGTTTATAATATATTAATAACTATTTTAGCATTACTTCTCTAATAGAGGCAATCTTATCTACTACCTTAAGAGGTATTATCCTAAGGTTTAAATAGCCCTAGTAAACTATAGTAGAACTATAATACAAGGTATTATAAAAGCAAGGATCTTCTATAGGAGCTTAATAGTAAATGCTTAAGAATGTATTCTAAACATGTTAATAATATATTCTCTACTAGTAGAGTAAACTACACTAAGTGCCTCCTCTAAGGTTTAAGAACCCTCTAAGATAGCTAGTCTATAATAAGAAGTGGTAGCTAGAGTAGAGGCTAAAGAAGAAGCAGAGAGTAAAGAAGAGGAGCAAATAGTTGCTCCCCTTTATACTATAAATAATATTTAGTAAAAGTAGTAAAAAGGAGATATAAGTCTAGTCTCTTAAAACATGTTTAGAATATATTAATAATATATTATAGCTAGATACCTATAAATACTAGATTCTTTTTTAATCTAAGGGACTACTAGAGCTTTATAATACCTATAAAAGTTAAAAGAAAAAGTTATATACTATTAAAGGACCCTATAAAAGTAAATAGTACTTTACTTTTAGTAGATAGAAAAAAAAAGAGAAGAGTAGAGAGTTTATTTTAGTAATTACTACTACCCTTTTAGGTTATATACTATTATATATTATTTATTAGAACTTATTCTTAATATATTCTTAATATATTCCTACTTATTACTATTATTATCTCCCTCCCCCTCTCTAGTATCTTCTCTATCCTCCCTATCCTCCCTAGGCTCTATAAAAGCATACCACAAGTAGAACTAGGTAGTATTCTAGTAGGAATTAGCAAGGTCTATACTAGTATTAAAGTAATAGTCTTAAAATATATTAGGAATAGGTTAATAATATATTATAAATAACTTACTATAGCTAGG